CGATGGTAATAATATAACACCGTACCGATACACTTTGATTATAAAATTCAAAACATAACGAGAGAAAAAAGGAATATAATTTCTTACAGCTGCATTATACCAGCTCATCTTTGTGGAACTGAAAAGGTAACAAGAGTATCCATAATGCAACCATCCTATGTGACATTCTGTCTTTACAGCATCTAATAAAACACAAAACAACACATTATATCTTGTATTGATTGGTTATGGCTATGTAAAATCATTGACGAATACACCAGCTATGTCAAAGCATTGGCGAATACACCAGCTATGTCAAAGCATTGGCGAATGCATCAGCTTTTAAGGATGAATTGACAAGACATCATTACTATTGTGAATTGTACTAGCCGTCAACAGTGTGTTAGTGTGTAAATTGCGTATGAGTGTCAGGAGAATCACTTTAAAAGCAATTTCGGGAATTGCATCTGTTGCTAAACAAAAAACACCAACAGCCCAGGCGCGGATACAGCCATTTTGAATAGGGTTCAAACCGCCGGAACATCATAATACGTTCACATAATTAAAAAAATCGAAAAGGGGGGGGGGGGTTCAACCCCCTGAAAACCCGATGTATCCGCCAATGCAGCCAACCATTGTGCAATAAAACACAACATTGACAACTAAAGATTGTGGGACATTAACCTTTACAAAAAACAAGGGATGAATTCAGATGCACAGAAAGGATCGTTAGCATTGCCCGCGACAACTAAATTCCGGAAAAGGTCAGAGATGAGAATGGGATTGTGGCTCCTACAAACGGAACATATCTGAGTTCAGCTGTGATATAGGTTTTTCTGACCCCATGAACCAAATGAACATGATAGCGTCCCTTAAATGTTCGGATTAATTAATTACAATGTAAAATTTATAATTACCTTGGTTCGGTATAGATCCCTCGTACATGTAAGTAGGAACATAATATAAAAATAAGGAGATGTGGTATGATTGCCAATGAGACAACTATTCACCAAAGTTCAAATGAAGTGGATGTAAGCAATTATTGGCAACCGTACGGCCTTCAACAATGAGAAAAACCCATACCGTATGTTCGGCTATAAAAGGCCCCGACATGAAAAATATGAAACAATTCAATAGAGAAAACTAAAGGCATAATTGATAACAAAACAATTTACGAAAAACAAATATGACAGACATGAACAAACGACAACCACTGAACTACAGGCTCCTGACTTGGGACAGGCACATAAAGAATGTGGCGGGGTTAAACATGTTTGTGAGCTCTCAACCCTCCCCTAACCTGGGACAATGATGTAACAGTACAACTTAAGAACAAACTATAAAAAATCAGTTGAAAAAGGCTCAACTAAGTTCATATGTGACCGGGATCATGGATATATACACGCAGTATGCCCTTGCCGTATGTGTACAGACAAACTACTCAGATGTTCTTAGATAAAAATATATCTTGCAGGTTGTAGTGGTTTTTTTTATATATTAATGCTTCATTTCAATGACGGTAACATGATTTTCATAAAGGACTTCTTCTGTTTTTATCTAGATGTTGTATTTTTCTCATTTAAAAAAAACTTGAGTGCAGTGACATTTTAGATATTGGGACACAGTTTATATTTAATTGGCAGTGGTTGATTTTTGTGATTTTGTTTTCTCTGAATCTTATTTTTTTGTCTAACAAATATTATCTCATCCATTTTTAAATGTCATAGATTAAAGACAAATGTCAGAGATTTTGTGTCTTAAAGTAAAACTTATATTGTATTATCAGGTATAATGACTTTTGTAGGAATTGTACAAAAGAAAAATCAAAATGATCTTACCGATGAAGCATAGAGTTAAAATACTGAAGTATACCAAATTGAACATAGTACAAGTGTTCCTACTATTAAAGATACTTTATGTGGTATCATTATAGATACGCCTTATCTTTTTATAGTATCTATGAATTGATAGTAAATAATCATAAACTTTTTGACGTCTCACCTATAAGCCTTACGGAAATGAGTGACGAGATGATTTTCTATTTCTTTTCGAGTTTAACTTATATATCATATTCCTTGACTACTGGGCAATGCGGCTGCTATTGTATGCGTGGTTTTGAAACGGTAAATTTTCAAAAATTATCGGCAAAACAAGATCTACAAATAAGTCAGTCGACTCCATAAAGAGGTTAATGCCCTTAAATGACGATTTTTATTCATTTTTGTGATTTTGTGGAACTATGGTGGAGAGGGAAATACTGAAAAAAGCTAAAATTATCAGAAAAAATAATTTCAACAATTTAGTTAAACGCAGGACTTCGGGAAAGTTCGGAGAGCCGACAACCTTGCTTTGGAAGTGCTGCCAAACCAACGAACCTCCCTCTTTAAAAATCTGTTGACTCCAACACAAACCCAGTAATTCCGACGCAGAACTGTTTTAATTGTTTTTGATACCAAGACATATCTCCGATTTCTGAGTATGTAGAAATCCCATAGTTTGCTGCCGGAAACCCTGAAGCATGATGTTTCAGTAAAGGGAGAGGTGCTTTGTACGATCTGAGCGAGAACTACAGATGTAAAAAATATTGAAACCATCAATATTTGCGAAATTTTGTGTACTCTATGGTATATGTGTGTAAATTTTGCTAAACGGTGTTTAGCCGAAGCTGCTTCAACTTTTGTAAATAACAAAACATATCGTATATACAGCCCGGAACTTCTAATTATCATTAAGATTGATAAATAAAAACATGAAGAGAAGTATCCCTAAGAATTGACTTCGTAGTATAGATTCTTTTCTTTTCCCTGGACATATTACACAACCCCTAATTAATATTATCAAAGGAGCATTAGCTACGATTTAGATACAACATGAAATTACATTATTAATGTTTCAAACATTCATGTAAATTTTATTAAAAGCGGTGTATTGAAATAATATCTAGCTATTACATGATAAGCGGGTAGTTTGGTTCAATTTTGTCAAAATAAGCTCAAAACATCGAAAATCGTATTATTGGAGCCACCAGGAAAACCAGTGTGTTGACTGATTAATCCCACAAAAAATCATTCATATTCGGGTAAAACGACGATTTATATTGTATAAATCTTTAGCATGAAATCAAACAGACCTTGACAAATCGTAATTACACGATAAGAACGTGCTTGTCTGTCTATCTAATTATATATTTATCCGTATACCAGGTCGTAAGACCATCGACAGTCTTCGTAGGTCATCTCGATTGTTACTTTACTGGCGTCTAGTCTAAAATACAAACGCTGATACATTATGAGTGCATTTCTTTCTAACCAAAATTTTGTAAATGTTGTGTGGCGTTTGTTGTTATTTTCTAAACGCTACAAAAGTAGAAACAAATACATTGTTAAATCAGTGTTTACTGACCCTGTTTGAACTTCCAATAATGCATGCACATGTTGTTGGTAAACAAACTTTTTGCAAACGTAGAAACAAATACATCGTTTAATCAGGTTGAAGTTAGAAACAAATGTAGCGTTTGTACTAACAAACGATGAACGACAAACTGTAGACGCATTTTTAGCGAGTGCATAGTTTGTCAAAGTTTATGTTAACTTTGCAAACGTATGTTAGAAACAAATGATCAAAACATGAGCGCGCTTAGCCGTTTGCATCGTTTGTGTTAGAAAGAAATGCACTCTATAACGAGTTTATGTATTGTTAATTGTTTTTAATTTGGACTTTTTTTAATTTGGATATTCGTTTTAGTATGTTGTTATTAAATATTAGAATTTAAGTCAAATCGGTGATAATAAATTCGATAGCTAATGCTCCTTTGAAAAGTAGCCTTTTAATTAATAATTGTACGCAGCAAATTAGATTTTGACATTGTAACAAAGCATGAAAAATATTTAGTCTTAAAGGGGCATTAACTACGAGATATAAAAAAAAATAAATATGATTTTTTTTGTTTTGTTCAATCATTAATGGAATTGAAATGATAATTCGTTATTAGCAGCCAGTTGGGTTCAATTTTGTCAAAATAAGCTAAGAAACATCGCTGATGAATTATTCACTTGCAAGTGAATAATTTGACCTCATTGAATCTGTATTCATGTGACCTCCAATTTAACCCCCTAAGCTAGAGATGGGTTACGCATAAACTAGGTGTGTTCAGCTATTAAAAGGAAAAGAATATCAACAATGAAAGTGAAACCAGGGTAAACATTTTGTTGACTGATTCGATCTACTAAAACTCATTCTTTTACAGGTAAAATCGATGATTAACATATTTGTTCAACCTATATTAGGAAATTGAACACACCTAGAAAAATCAAATTGCACGTGTTCGTTATCTATTTATTTGAGACTTTTTTTAAATTGGATATACGTTTTAGTATGTTATAAATCAAATATGAGAAATTGAGTCAAATCGATGATTATGAACTTGACAGCTAATGTCCCTTTTAAAGACTTTTGAATACTAGCTGCGACTAATCGCAATATTGTTATAACATTTAAGAGCGCATACAATTCGTAGCTTTAAGCTTCATCTTGAGCATTACTAAAATGTTAAATTGCTTTTGTTACTCCGAGTTTATTTTTAAAAACTTTTCTCCCCATAAGTCAAATAAAAAGGAAAAGCGAAAAAAGTAAAAATAATATTTGGTGCCACAAAAAAATTGACTAAATAAATGCCGAAATGACTTTAAATAGGTGCCGATTTGGCTTTTTCTGTAAGCGCCGAATTAACCAGGTGCGATTTGACTTGTGCCCCTATGCCCTTTAACTTTGTGATTTAAATAACATTGGGAATCTTTTTGTTCCGTTTAAAGTCATATCTGGGACTATTATACTAACATATGGTATAACAGTCCCAGGTCATATGAAACGATTTTCTTGAAATTATAATGTTTAGGAAATTACTGAACCAAAGAAAAGTATAAGTATATATACTAAACTAAGTCCTATATGCGTGATTTTTTACATTTATAATTACGAATCCTTAACATTAACGATGATGTCCGGGATCAACATACCATTATTTTAGTGATTGCAATCGACTGAAATATCAACATCCGGTTGGCAAATCTGGACTTCTGCAGAGACGAACTCTTGATTTGATTAATTTATGCCTAGTAAAGGTTTGCACCTATATTGTATGTATTGCATATGTCTGCTTAAATGTTATTAGATCACCGAATGATGTTATGAATGAAAAATGTGTCCATTTACATGGAATGTTGCGAATGAATATTACAGCGATCTTGACGATCGATTTTTGTGCATTGGAAAAGTGATGGATATTTATACAAACAAGTGCTTAGTGCTTACTCACAGTTCAATAACTCAGCGTTATAACTTGAAGCAAACTGAAAGTAATGTTGAGCATGGACATTTGATTGAAAGTGTGATTTTTTCTTACACATTTTGGAAACTTATGAACTTAGTCTCCTACAGTTCAATTCAATTCAAAGCTTTATAAAACATTACAAAAATAAGCTGGTTAGGGGCGGTACCTCGAATGACCGAATAACACCGTTATTAGCCAAATAACACTTCTAATCACCGAATAACACTTGAAATTTTAATATTAGCAAATTTTGGTGACATTTAAACATTGATTATTAAATAATATTGTATTATAAGTGTATTTTTTAACTTAAAAATGATTTATAGAAAGCAGGTTAGTTCATAAAGATCATTATAAATATTAGTGTGTACATCCAACATGGCGACCAAGGAAAATACAATGGGAAGAATAAAAGAATGATTGCATATGCATTCAAAGGGAAAGGCTATGAAAATAAAGTATTAAATAATGTACTGTCCAATAATTGTTTTTCAGTAAGGTTTCGCAAGTTAACAAGTACATCAAATCCATGCAATTACTCCAATCACCAATTAGTTTTCTTAACGATTTACTCAAATTTGAATGAAACGTAATTAAGAATTTTCACATATTTAATTTAAATTTAATCAAAAAATTAATTATACTTGATTGTTTTATAATAAAAACAAAGCAGCTGAATGGATGATTCGTATGTGTGTATTTTCTCTATAAATCATTTTTAAGTTATAAAATACACTTATAATACAATATTATTTAATTATCAATGTTTAAATGTCACCAATATGTGCTAATATTAAAATTTCAAGTGTTATTCGGTGATTACAAGTGTTATTTGGCTAACAACGGTGTTATTCGGTGATTCGTGTTACCGTTGGGGGTTTTTAAACTAACACAGATACTACACATTGTACACACAAGACAATACATGCCCAATATAGATAAAAATATTCATTTTAAAGGTGTAATACCACCATTGATGAAGGATCTGATGGGATATTTTCGTTCTTCGTGATCGACGCATTTGCGCTATTGTGATCCATTTTTCTACAGATTTAATTTTTTTTAATATTTTTGTGATCCCTGATCATTGAAATTTATTTTCTGTGAATTGTGATTGACAAAAAAATCAACTCATGAATTGTGATGAGACCCCCCCCCCCCCCCCATCAGGCCCCTCATTGATTTTCCCCTATTCGTCTTTGTTAAATTTGCACTTTTCAAAAAATTTAATATATCTTTGCTTCAAATAAAGAAATGCTTGGCATGAGTACAGTTTTATCCTGTCCAGTACTATAGACAAAATTTCACATAACATTTCATTGCATATAAGAAAATAACCATCACTGGAAGTTAACCAATCAAATTTTCACCTCTTTTTTACCTGCGTACAAGCTTTAGTAACCATGTAATTTCAAGTTTCCAAAATATTCTAAATATTCTATAGAAACCCCAAATAAAAAAATAATGGTGCTTTGAAATACCCAAGATATATGTTTATGACCCAGAAATTTTTTAATGCAATGAAATGTAGGATAAATTACCTACAACTGTCAAATTCAAGGGAATATTTTTTTTGGACCCTCTTTAGTATGTAACCGGATGTGACATACTATGATTTGGTGGTATTACACCTAAAGGGGCATTAGCTGTCAAATTCTTCTGTTCACTGACTAGACTCAAATTCTCATATTTCATGTATTTGATATATAACATACTAAAAATTTATATCCAAATTCTAAAAAGTCTAAAATAAACATTTTACGCTGTATGGAATCAATAATATGTATCAGCATTTCATGTGTATTTTAGTCGACGCCATATTATTAACCATCCAGATGACCTCCAAACCTGATATAAACATAAATATAGATATAAATAGATAATGAACACATGCAACTGGATTTTTCTTGGTCTGTTTGATTTCATAATATTGGTTGAACAAATATGTTAATCGTCGTTTTAACCTGTACATGTATATTAAAGAATGAGTTTTTGTAGATCGTATCAGTCAACCAAATGGTTTACCCTTGTTTCACTTTCAATGTTGACATTCTTTTCCTTTTAATAGCTGAACACGCCTAGTTTATGTGTAACCTATCTTTAGCTAAGGGGTTGAATATAAGGTAACTTGAAAACGGATTCAATTAGGTAGAATTATTCATTTGCAAGTGAATAATTCATGAGCGATGTTTCTAAGATTATTTTGACAAAATTGAAACAAACTGGCTGCTAAATGCGAATTATTATTTTACTATTTCTTTTTCATTAATGATTGAACAAAAAAATGTCTTTATTAGCAATTGTTCAGAGCTTGATAGTAATGACATTAGGTATTGTTAAAAGGAGCACAAGGTTATCCATAGTTGTAAATGTATTTTGTCTCGTGTATATATCAAGACAATATGTTATTCATTGATTATCATTGAACTTCATGCATGGAAGCTTTATAGTACATGTAATGACATTAAGTATTGTTAAAGGGAGATCAAGGTTATCCATTATGTCCATAGTTGTAAATGTATTTTGTCTACATGTATATATATCAAGACAATATGTAATTAATTGATTATCATGGAATTTTTTCCTTATTAAAGGGAGGTTATAGAAATTATTATGTTGGGCAATGATATATATATCAATAAAGCAATTATTTTATTGGTTATATAAACAAAACCAGGTTAAATACATTTGTAGATATAATGACATATTATATTTTCCTTAACTATAAATGTCCATTTGAAATTGCTTTATGTTAAAACATGTAAAATATATGTATATATTTATTTCTATATAAAATACTTGCCTTTGCAAAATATTTTTAGATATAGATAAAAAATGTTGTGTACTGCAGACAAGAATTATTTGATGTAGCTTTCTTAAAAAGTGTTTTGAACACATGAAATTTATAAAGTGTTGTTTTCATTTTTTTTTCTTGTTGATACACATACTTTTTACGTACAATTTTTTAAAGAATCTAGCCAACACTCTCACAAATTTATGGTGGAGGAGTCCTCCAGGAGGACATAATTTGATTAGGAAATGTTTTCATTGACTGTATTTCACAGTAAAATATTGTCACTCTTACACAGTACATGTATTTCACAACTAAATATTGTCAAATGTCTGACCAATTGCCCAAAATTTCAAGGAGAAAGACACTATTTCATAATGAAATATTGTCTGTCCTGGGCAATGTTTCACAGTATTTCAATATAAAATATTGCCAAGCCCAGTGGGAAATAATGGAGAACTCTGGGTTTTTCTGGTTAATAATGGACAATACTGTCTAAATATGATTAACTGATAAACTGACCTGAGTCATGACTATTTTATGACATTGAAATTAATAATTAAATGATCAATTACAAATGCAATACCTAAATGATATTAAATATATTGTACATGAACTTTTGATCAATGATGTCCACTTTGTTAAGTGTTTTATAAATTCTCTTGTCCATTGATTTTATTGGATAGTGTATTAATGTGAGTGAGTACCAGTCCAACACATTTACATTACATTACATGTATATGTACATTGTACATGGACTCACCTGAACAAATGTCATGAATTGTAAACTATTCTCTTAATGATGTGATTTATGCATAATCCTATAAAAATATATAACATTGTCCTTCTGTCTAAATACTTAAGACTGAACATGATGCCAAAGATCCAATTTTGGTACATAGAAAGTATCTATTGCAAGAATACCAAAATTCTGATGAACTTACTCCTATGGACAGACAGGAACAATAAAATCTTGGAGATTCAGATTCACAACCTGGAGATAAATGTACAAACCTACGACTCCAGCAAAGAGGAAATGTCCTGATTGTAAGAAAATTTTAAGAATATATTATTAAATCTTTTACTTGAGTTTTGAATAAAAATTAATTATTAATTAATTGTGATAAAAATAAGCGGTATTAAAACAATATATATGTTAATTAGTAGAAATTATTTTCACAACTTTCATGCACACTTAAGTACATGTGCATGACTAATTATTCCAGTTAGAAAATGTCAAACAAATTTGATTATATAGCAACAGTTAGCTTTTTCATCTGTACAAATGTGGGTGTCATGTCCCCTTATGGTTTTTATTTAGCAATATGATAAGCAATAAAATTTTACATAACAGTAAAATGTCATAATATAATACAAAGATTGTATATTTTGTAGATGATTGTCAGGACCATGACCAACTCCCAAATGCTGAGTAACATGTTTGACAGAAACTTGGGTGGATTTGGAGTGACATGTTCAATTAGATGGAGAATTAGTCAAAATTATTTTTTGCATGCATTTCGTCTTTCAATATTGCTGATACTGCTACATTATGTGGCAAAAAACTATTGAAATATATGGAGACAAGGGTACATGCACGTTTTGTACTTTGGTCCTTTGTGTAAGGACATCATGGACATTGGCGATTTTCTCTTTGATAAAAGACATGGTATGGTAACAAAAGAGATGAAATCAAATTTAAAGACTTTGCTTTAGTTTAGAGTGGAAGGTGTAGCATTCATATCAATTGCTTTAGATAATCATTGGGGAGGAAAATTATACTTCTTGTCAGCAGTTAAAACTGGTACAAACAAGAAAACTACACCATATTGTACTTCCTTCAATCAATGATGCTAAAGAACCATTTGAATGTAATATATCTGGGGTAGCATCTGACAATGAGAAAATGATGCAGTTTATGAAGACAAATATCAAAGAGGCTAAATGAAGAGTTGATCTGCTGCCATTCAGCTTAAATTCTGTGTAGATGTACCTTGGGAAATTATTTGAGTCAAATCAGATTACATCTGCAGAAGACATGCTTCGAGCTTTTGTTAGACTTTTTGAAATTAATGTGTTAAGACAAAATTCTTTTGACTCTAAATAGTTAGTCTACCATAATGATTTTATGCAACACATGTTTGGTGAAAGGGGGTCAATAAATTAAATGTACTGAATCTATTACTGTTTTGTTATTCAGTTATGCAAATTTAGCATGCCAAATAGTTTTGCTGCCATCAAACATATTATTTCAACTTTTGATTTATTCAGACTAACTTGATACATATACCAGGCATTCAAAATGTACAAAACTGGAAATCTGTAATAGGACTAAATTGAATGGTCTAATTTCTCATAATGTTTATTTCTATAAAATGTATACTTTAAAAAACAACCATGAAACCACAATATGTCTAAATTAATAACTATTTTGAACAAAACGTAGCATTACAAACTGTGCTAAATGCTTTAACCTGACCAGCTTAGTAATAAATTAACAGCCTATTTTAGATCCAAGTAGATTATTATGCGCTTGTGACTGTAGATGCAAATGTACTGACAATTGCTTTAAAGTAGCAGGGATGGGGTAATTGAAAATGTAATGGTAATTAAGTGTAATGCATTACAATTTTACATGTAATTGAATGTAATGTGTAAATGAGCATTTTTTCAAATTACATGTAATGGTAATTTAATTAATTACAATGAAAAAAGCATGTAATGCTAAATTACTTTTGAATTACATTTCAATTACATGTACTTTTATGGTGTTAATCATGTTAATGATAAGAAATTGTGTTAATATAAATATTATTTATTTGACATACAGAAATGTTTTCTGAATAGTCTTATAACTTTAAAAAAATTGTGAGAATCATATATTGGTGTTGTTCAGTTTTTAAGAAACATCTTTATCTAAATAGATTGATAACATGTATATATTCATATGATCAAAATACATGTATGTATTGTTAAACAAATGTATAAATCTTTCTTAGACAGTTCATTTAGAATTTTAAATCACTGCACACAATTATTTTGTCAAATTAGTATACACAAAAGGATTATAGAAATAAAAATTATCAGCTGTAAAAACAAATGGCAATTAATCAGACTAAATGTGTAATAAAACAGCCTAGGGACAATGCCACTATTACATGTATTTTATCTAATTAGCAAAATATTGCTAATATTGAGACATTATACATTGTTTGTGCTAAAAAATTATTTTCAATCTAGTGACAAGCATACTTTTGAATAATCATGATAATTGTAAAGTAAAAAACATGGACAATTTTTTAATTTATTTATAATTTATTTATTTGTATTATGTTTAATTAAATGGCTTCATTTCTGAGTTGTCAAAATACCCCTTAATGTATTGGCAAGTTAATAGGAACACAATCCCTCTTCTATCAACACATCTTATGATCTAGCAATACCTGCCACATCAGCTCCTGTCTGAACACTTTGTTTTGAAAGGAGCTGATGTGGCAGGTATTGCTAGATCATAAGATGTGTTTATAGAAGACATTAAAAATACTAATGATGATCAAATGCAATGCTAAAACTATGCTGTAAGCTTACATGCATATTTTACACATGCTATACATACATGATATATATTGTTTAAAAAAAGTTATGATGAAATGTAATGTGTAATTTAATTAATTACTTTAGTAAAGTAATTGTAATTTAATTAATTACATTTCAAAAACTGTGTAATGTGTAATTAGTGTAATTGATCATTTTTGCAATGTAATGTGTAATTTAATTAATTACATTCCAATGTAATTGACCCCAAGTCTGTAAAGTAGAGTATATAACCAGGAAACTTTGCTATGCCTTACATATCCAAAGAAATGAAATTTTGAAGGCTTTTCCGTCTAGCAAACGAAAGGGCCATTGAATGTAGCCAACATTCACCCCACGGGCGTAATCTTTTTATTTTTGTATATCCAGGGCCACTGTAAATATAGTCCTGTAAATGTAGTGAACTTTTAACTGATTCTGAAAAGAAGTGCTTCTTTGAAGGAGGGAATTCCTTAAACAGATACAGATACAGTTATATGCACAAGTGATACCCGTTACAGGGATAGTGCCCAAGCTTTGAAAACCCCTATTGTCTAGTATTGATAATTCTTTGACAACCTTGGACTCTGGACGATTTTAAGTTTGACATATTGTAAAGGTCCATGTCAATTGTTAAAGACTGTATGTTGACCTCTATAATTTTTTTTGCTATTTCTGACTTTCGATTGCTTTCTGATTAAATTTAAAGCCAACATTGTTTATTAAACCCCACGCAAATTTTTGCGATGGGTATAATGTTTTCGACCCGTCCGTCTGTCCGTCCGTCCGTCCGTCAGTCCGTCCGTCAGTCCTGTTTCTTGTCATCGCAACTCTCAAACCACACAACAGAATTTCATGAAACCTTTTCAGATAATAAGGACATACTATGTAGATGTGCATATCGACAGGAATTTACGAATCAATTTTTTTCACAGGAGTTACGCCCCTTTGAACTTATGTGCCCAATATACTACTGCAACCTTTTGTCATCTCAACTCCTCTGAAAAAACACCACAGAATTTCATGAAACTTTGTAGATAATAAGGACATACTATGTAGATGTGCATATCGACAGGAAATTCAACTGCCTCAGTGTTTTTATGGTAGCGTGCTCACCTCAAGTGCTGGAGGTTGATCTTTGATCCCCATAAAAAAAACTTAAAATTTGTATTTGCTGCTTCTCCTCTAAAAGCACCATTAAGTAGTAAGAGTAAGATCAGTTTTTTAACCTGTCTTGCCTAGGTGAAGTCAAAAAGTGAGATGTAGGTATGCTGTTTCTGACATCGGCATTGCAACAATGTATTACTTTGTGATTAGGTCAGTTTATGGGAAACCACTAGTGGTAGGTCAATGATACTTGGTATGCAGTTGTATTAGCATTGGCACAGCTCATTTCCATGGAGATTACTTGACCCAATCCACTCAGGCATGGTCTATTGACTTTGAAACTTTTGCTTAGTTTAGATGTATTAGTTTGTGATTAGGTAAGTTTAAAGGGAACCACTGTGGTAGGTCACTGATATTTGGTATGCAGATGCATAAGCATTGACACATCTCATTTCCATGGAGATCATTTGGCTTTTACATTGTTTACAAGTTTAGGTTAGTGTTTAAGGAACCACTTATCATAAGTCAATGGTATTTGGTATGCAGTTTTATAAGCATTGGCATTTCTTATTTCCTTGGAGATTATTTGGTCCTGAAACTTTTAAAAGTCATGGTTAATAGACTTTAAATATTTTGCATAGTTTATACGTTTAAATATTGAATCCATTTGGATTCACCAATAATATAAGCAATAGGCCAACTATAATAAGTGTATGGAAAGATTTTAAAGCGTGTATGTTCATCTGCTTTTGACCTCATTTACATGATTCATTTGTTAATTTTCAGTTTTTATACGACCGCAAAAAATTTTGCGGTTGTAAATTGGTATCACGACGTCGTTGTCCGAAGACATTTGGTTTCCGGACAATAACTTTAGTATTAGTAAATAGAAATCTATGAAATTTAAACACAAGGTTTATAACCACAAAAGGAAGGTTGGGATTGATTTTGGGGGTTATGGTTGTAACAATTTAGGAATTAGGGGCCAAAAAGGGGCCCAAATGAGCATTTTTCTAGTTTCTAGACAATAACTTGTGGAACAGTGTATGGATCTCTCTGAAATTATACCACAAGTTTCCATACCACAAAGGGATGGTTAGGATTGGCTTTGGGGTGTTATGGCTCAAACTGTTTAGGAATTAGGGGCAAAAAAGTGAGAAAATACAAGGGATCCTGGTTAATGGACAATTACTTAAGTACAATGTTGTGTTTGAATTACCTCCCTTACACTGCTTTTAAATTATGTATAAAGAAATTTTTCTCCTCAATATTTCAGATATCAAAAAGAAAATTTATTTATTTTTTTGACATTTTCAAAAATTTACAAAGTTAATCGATTCAGAAGTTCAGACTCTCTGAGTTCAATTGAGTACATTAATAGGTACTCAGCTTGTAGTTGTTATAAGATCTACATCCACTGGGGGCCACTTACTATGTATGTGTGGTAGAGATGAGCCGCAGTTGTATGGTCGAAAATTTAGATTAAATATATGAATCAAAATTATCTGAAACAACTAGTAATGTGTTCATCTCTCAATGAAACAGCCTAATCATGATAGCTATAGGGATATTTTTTTGTCAAAATATATATCATAGGGTAAGCATTTTTACTATTCAAAATATTCGAAAAGGGTTTGGTACTGAATGTCTCAGCTGCTCACCACTACCACAAAAAGGTCGAAGTGTGACTGAGTAAAAAAAAACTCCAGTGAACAAAAAACAAAACAAATACCAATCAACAAAACACTTCACAGAAAACTAAAGACTGAGCAACAAACCACTAAAAAACGGGTTGCTAAGAACGTAGTAAAATATATGACAGATTGATAGGTATAGAGTTGACTAGTACTTCATTAGTGTTTACTGGATTCAAAACGTTTGAATCACTTTATATTTTATTTTGGCATATCAATCATAAGCGTGAAAAAGATTCACTTTTTCCAGCACATACAGTATATGCTCTGTATTTACATTGTTATGCATATTTATGGCAATTTACGTATTGCTATATTGGGTCGACCATATTTGTGACCTGGATCAAGAGGTCATCATTCAAAATTGGTCCCAAGTAGATTTTTTTACTGCTATGTTAAATATCCTATGTATTTAAAGATTAATGTATTAAGAAAAAAAATACTTTTAAAAACCAACGGCTTTCTGATGAAGTTTTCAAAGCATAAAATTATAGATGTATTTGTATTTGTCATTTTAAGTTGTTGACCGATTGAATACTTACTCTAATCACGTAAGATGAAATACGTATAAATCCGAGTGAATAAGTGCGTTTTTGGTGGAAGAAGACTTCAAGTCTTCTGAAAGCCTTTACTGCCGGCTGTAAAATCATCGAACCGTTACCAGGACGTATGCCGTATCCCTTTCTGTGCTTTACAATTTCATATCAACTTCCGTGCCATATCTTGACACCGATGTTTACACATGATCCAAGCATCTGCATCATTTAATTTATTAGTTAGGGTTGAAAACGATCACTATCGTTAGTGTTATAATTTCTCATGTTTTAATGTAATAAATATCAACCCTTTTATTTATGTAAATTATTAGATTTCATCTCATCTTAAATGAACGTTATTTGTTTACTTGTAACCGGATGTCTTTAAAGTAGAGTTTGTAGTACGCATGCGTGAATTTGGTATCGGGTCGGTTCGCCCTGATTACATGTTCGCCCTTAGTCCGTTCGCCCTGAGTTCGTCCCCATAGAGTACGTTCACCCTGGGTTCCTTCTCCTTACTTTTATCGTGGAAGTATTATATTGACTGCTTTTATCAAGGACTTTTTATCCCTCTTTGCAATTTAATAAAAAATAATAATATTATGGGTGTTAAAGTTTAATAAACTTATTCAGATATGTATATGGTATAAATTCTCGAAATTCATGAACACACATGAAAAAAAATAATTAAAAGTTGATGGCTTGTTTTGGAGCATTAATAGGGTATGATAATAATTCTCACTGATTGTTGTAATATATGTCTTTGGTAGATTAATTATTGGAGTTATCGGAATAAAACAACTGGATTATTCGGATTAATTTAAACCACGTTGGTTACGTATCTGCGCATGTGCATAAATGGGAAATTTAATTGTGCATCTGAAAGTTTCAAAATAATGATAAACAGAATTGTCATATATTCATACAATCCATCTTGAGTTAAAGTCAAGTATATACGTGGAGAGTAAGACTTTAAAGCAATGATGCTTGAAAAAATACAGATTTAGTTGTTCCGTCTGCGGTGGCCGAGTGGTCTAAGTATTTACTACTGTAATCACTAGCCAGTCAACACTGAGGTTGTGAGTTCGAACCCCGCTCGTGCGAATGCACTCGACTCCAATCTTAATTGACTAGGATTGTCAGTTTTCATATCGAAGGTTGGTGGTTTTCTCCGGGCACTCCGGCTTCCTCCACCAATAAAAACTGGCCGCCACGAAATAGCCCAAAAGGGGTGCTTAAAAGTGGCGTTAAAACACAAAAAATAAAAAAAAAATGTTCCGTCTGCGTTCAGATCTTTAATGCAATCAATTAAGTTTTATTCCAGTTTTAGACAACATGTGTTTTTTTTTAAAACGAAAGTTAGAATATTTAAGTATGTTATTGCGATAGTAAAGAGTCAAGCGCACACGTGAATCTGCTGGTGTTTTACACATTAAACGATGCACCGT